ATGGGTGATTCAGGATTAGGGTCCTGGTCAGGAAAGCAAAACAAAACCATCATTCTGCAGAGGGTGCAATTTTCTGTGTAGAATACCCCAAGACTCCAAGCAGCAATCAGAATGAGTAAGTGATTCAGCAAACGTGCAGGTGGCAAAGCAACACTCAAAAGTCAGCTGGTTCTAAACCAGGTACTGTCATATATGTCTATAATCCCAGCATCCCAGGAGGCTGAGGCAGAAGTGTACTGATTCTGACTCTAGACTGGGCAGTTCAGGGACTTGATAAACTGCCACGAAATAAGAAGCAAAGGGTTAGGGATGCAGTGAGGAAGAAGGCCCTGGCTCTAGTTCCCAACACCAAAAAAGAAAACTAGAAGTCCCCAGTTGCTTCTGTATGCTAGCAATGAACATCTGAATTGCAGATTAAGAGTATTTATAACACCACCAAAAACATCAGTGTAACCCTACCCAACCCAGGAGATACACTTGTATATTTTGAAAATATCTCACTCACAGACTGTGACCCTAATATTTTTAAGAAGTCCACGTCACCCAAAGCAGCCTACGAGTGCACTGCAACCCTTCTCAAAGCCCCAGCGGAATCTGTGTTGTTTTGCAGAAATATGAAATCTCAGCCTGATGTTCCCATGGCGTCTCAAGGGACCCTGAATGGCCAAAATCTTGAAAAAGAACAAACCAGGAAGCCTCTCGCTTCGAGACTCCAGGACAGGACCCAAGGCTGCAGCTGTCGGAGCAGCACGGCCAGCACAGAGAAGGGGCAGACGCACAGAAGTGCTTTGTGACAAAGGACAACCCTGCCCCAACAGGCCAGGGAATGTGACACCCAGATGCTGGGTAGCATGGGTTTTACACCCTCTGCCATACCTCCGAGCGGACCAGAGACCCACGCCTGAAGGCTGGAACTGTCAGCCCTGTGGGAAAGACACCGAAGACACCCTGGCAATACTGGGCTGGGGACGACTGTTTGGTGACGATACCAAAAGTGCCACGTCATAGTCAAGCTTCTACAACCCAGGATGGAATAGGAGAGCAGAAAGGTGACCTGCAGGCACGGGGACATCAGGGATTGTGATGAGGGGGCACTGGCCAGGATCCACGCAGAGCCCCCTCTGCCAGGCCACAAAACCCAAGCATCTCAGTCAAGGCACAGGCTGTGAAGATGCAAGTGGCCGACACCCCCCGGAAAGTTGTAGTGTTCTCCCCTGCGAGGGACATGCAGACCAGAGCCATACAAGCCACCTTTTCACACCAAGCACAGCTGCTGCCCATGCCTCGACCTGAAACAGAAGGCAGAGCACCAAGGAGACACGGACAGGTGGACTGGACACTAGGACAGGCAGCGGGACGGGGCCAAGGGACAGCACAGGGCGGCAGTGGCTCAGCAGCTGAGCACTTGCCTAGCATGTCAGTAAATAAACAAACAGACTTACTCCCTGAGCAGCCCCATAACTCTGTATTTAGACCCAAACTGACCCAAAGCCAAGCCCAGACACGGCACGTGTGGACGCGCATCCTCAGGCTCACAGTGTTGTCTGCAAGATCCCAGTGTGGACACAATCCAAACGTCCGTGGATAATGCACAAACAGTCACACACGTGTGCACGGGCACAGGATGGAATACTACTTAGCCTTGAAAAGCAAAAAAACCATGACCCATGCTGTGAGGGGGGCAAACCCTGAAGCCCTGGCGCTGAGGGCAATGAGCCAGGAATCAAAGATAAAGCCAGAACTTGGAAGTTTTAAGTAGGAAGGAGATGGAGAGATGGAGGGAGGGAGCAGAGGGAGGGAAAAGGGTGGAAAGAGGATTGAAAGGCACAAGGCCCCGCATAGCTGCCCCAGTGAATGACCTCACCATGTGGACCTCACAGTTGCAGTGACCAGCCCCACAAGGCCAGCCCCTGAGTACACACACTGCCTTCATGATGCAGCTTATACAGGAGTCAAGACCAGGCAGAACCAGAGCCAGGTGTTTAGAATTCAAACTAGGAAAGTTTTTAGGAAGAGTAGCCGGTTGTGCCGCTGGGCGGTGTCCTCAGGGAACAGTGACCAGGAGAAGGCCGAGGGCTGTGGGCATCACACCTGGGCAGGAGCTGGTAAGGTCCCATGTGAGGTGACCAACACAGGCTCCCTGCACAGATGCCCATGGGCCACAGGGAAGACAGTGCCTTTCTCAAAGGACAGCCAGATGTCCAGCAGGTGACAAACTTCTGGCACCACACAGAATGGGCAGGAGAGTCACCTGCAGGCACAGGACAGAGTGGACAACCTCAGGAGTGAGCAGGAGACCAACACCAGCATCCCGACTCTGCACAGGAAGCATGGAGAGGTCTGAGGTTGCAGGATTTGTGCTGACCCAAAAGGGAAGGTGGGAAGAGCCCCAGGAATGGAACTTGGGGCCCTAGGCTTCTATAGGAGACTGCAGGGCCAGCAGGATAGCCACCCGCCACATCTGCCACCTTGCTGGCCACCGATCTGCCCTTGCACCTGTGACCCCCAAGGAGGCCTGAGGTGAGGGAAGGAGTCTTAACTGATGCAGCACAAACACTGTACCCCTGAGGCCGAGGATGAAGTGGAAGCTTCGGTCCCCCACCCCACCCAGCAGCGTGCGGCTGGACAGCTACTGCCAGAGGCCTGGTGAACCCTCTGTTCAGGATGCAGTGGCAAAGTGTCACCTTTTGATCTCCAAAGCCAGCATCTCCAAGGCCTTGGGGCAGCCGCCAAGGAGCTGGCCCCTGCTGACCTGGGCGGGGTGGGGCAGAGGCAATAACTGAGCCTGGACACCCAGCCAAGGTGAGACCTGGACAGCAGGGCAACTGTGCAGGGCCACATGCATGTGTGCTTCCTCTCAGACAGGACCCTGACCTGAGAGCCATCAGAACAAAGACAGGGCAGCCAGGGATGCCCCAGGACCCTCAGAGGGCCATGGCCTCTGTTCGTCTGCAGGGACCACCTTGGGTGAGAAAGCCAAGCACACCAGGGCAGGGCAGGCCCGGGGATCCCCTGAGGACTGGGCGTGTGCAGAAACTGATCCAGTGAGGCAGAGGCTTGGAGTGTGCCAGTCTGTGGCTGAGGCTTCTGCACCCATGCAGAAGGGGAGCTGAGACCCCTGCTTGCTTGGAAGCACAGCCAGATATGTCACTCCCGGCTGCTGACCATGGCAAGGGATTTAAGCAGCACAAATGCATCCCTCCAGTCCTGGATGCGAACAGAAGCCTAGCTCTCTTGCCAGGGCCTCTCTCTCTGGAGGTCTCTCCTGCTCCTGGTGGCTCCTTATCCCAGGCAGTGTCACCATGGGCCCTGCCTCTGCCCCCAGGTCTCCACTCAAGGTCGCCCACCCTAAGTCCAGGATGACCCTGCCTCAAGGCCTCTACACAAGAACATCTGCAAGGACCTGATTCCAGACGAGGCTCCACCTTGAGACTCCCCAAAGGTGAAAATCTGGGGGACCCCTGCAACACCAAAAGGCAGATGTGCCCCATTATCTGCTGGTGAGAGGAATAAGGACTGGTTCTGGGGACAGCACTGCACCCATCCCTCTGCCACCACCTCAGGGGACTGATAAAGGCGAGAGATGGTCTGGCCCCTCAGAAGCACTTGCCACCCTGGGCTGTGTCCACCAGGCACCTGCTGGGAATGGTGGTGGCAGACAGCAGGGCTGAGCTGGCTCTCTCCCTAGGCCCGCAGTGAACAGGCTGCCCTCTGCCTGGCTATCCCTGTCCCAGGGAGACAGACATCAGGCAGGGTGAGAGGGTGCATGCAGCCAGCACCAGCAGCGAACTGGCTGCTCAGGAACTCTGAACCCACGCTGAGCCGCAGAGACCAGACCTGCAACTTGGTCCATGGGAGTGGACGGAGCAGGGAGAGCTGCCCGGGAATGGGGGAAACATGCCTGTCCAAAGCGGCACCCCAGGGGAGAAATGGGGCCGGGAGGCCCCAAGCCCTCACAGCCCCTAGCAGTCACCCTGGATACTGGCCCTGGCACAGCCTCACCGATGGGGAAGTTTCCTGAGAAGTGGCCGTCTGCCTCCAAGTCCCTAGGTGGGGACGACCAACTGCAAGCTGGACTTTGGGTTCCTTCCTAAACCCGCTTGGGAAGGACAGGAGGCCACCAGCCTTGGGTTATGTCCCTCCCTCACCTGCCAGCAGAAAGTCTGGGAATGCCTAGCCTGGGCCCCTTGATCAGGGCTCTCCACCTCCCCCAGGCTGCAGGGGATCCTGCTTCCCACACTGGCTGTGAACCAGCACCAAGCGCAGGTCAGGTGCTGGGCTCAGCCCACAGAAGCCCTGGTGGCTCATGACTGACCTGCTGGGCTACGGACAGGATGGATTCAGTCTCCACCCCCACCCTGCACACAGCACAGAGCCCCCAAAGCCTGTGGTGTCCACCCTCCCGAGGCAGCACTGGGCTGTAGTTTAGATACACACACACATGCACACCCCAACACCAGTGTAGGAGACAGACGCACAAACACATATGCACCAGGGTGTAGGTACACCACACATACATGTACACACATGTATGCACATGTGGAGACACCCAAATCCAGGCTTCCAGGGGAAACTGGTTTGCAGCAAGAGCAAATGCTGTGTGTGCCTGGGGCACGTGAATAGCCAGACCAGAGCCAGAGCTCAGGCTGGACTTACAGCTCACCCCAGCCCCACCTTTCCCGAGATGTGGGGCTTGGGGACCAGGGCACCCAGACAATGCTGGGTGAGAATAGAACAGAGGTGGCTGGTTTGGGGAAGGCAACCCTGTGCTAGGAGAACCCTGTCCCTGGGCAGTGCAAACACCCAGCCCCTCAACCTGGAGGACGCCAAGCAGGAGAGCGCAGCTCAGAGCGGACCCGGGAGAGGCCTGGCAATGCACCCTGGCCCAGCCACAGAGCACATTACCTCAGGAGGCCACGATGCCCAGGCCTGTGCAGAGCTGAGTTCCGGCAGCTGCTTGGTGAGTTAAACTAATTACACAGAAACCACACAAACGCCGCTTCCTGAAGGAGAAACGCACTCCCTCTTTAATAGCCAGCCTCCCTTGCGCGTGGCCCTGCCAGCCCTGCTCGAATTAGAGCACAGCTGCGACCCAGAATCAAAATAAACTGACCACATGCATGATAGCACTGCCGCTGCTCACCCCGCCTCTAGCAGGCGAGGAAGTCAGCGAAGATGCCGTCCACTCCATCCTCCTTCAGGTCCAGGCCCCAGGTGTCCACATCCGAGCCCCACAGCTCCAGAGGGCCCTCCTGGAGCTCCTGGGAGCTGGGCAGGGAGTCGCTCAGGAAGCCCGGTTCGACCCTACCCACTGGGCTGCTCTTAGCCGAGGCCCTGGCTGGGGTCACTCCTCTGGCCTCCACGGACCCTAGAAAGACAGGGTCACATCAGCAGGAAAGACTCTGCCTTTGCCAGAGCCCACTACTCCTCTGGAGGATGGGCTGCTCTGCTCCCAGAGGTGGCCACCACCACACGGCACCTCCAGATGCCTCCAGGAGCCAGTGTAGCTGCTGTGAAGACCGGGGCAGGGAGAACAGGCCCAGGACCCCAGGCAGCACTGCACAGGCTGTGTTCATGTTACCTGACTCCTCGCTGGTCACCCTGAAGACCAAGGGCAAGGAAGGCAGCAGTGGGCCAGAGGAGGCTCTGGATGAACACCCCATCTCCTGGGTACCACCCCCAAGCCAACACCTACGACGGTGAAGGCAGCCAGGGCCCGGGCCCACTCACCCAGCCACCACTCGGGACTGGCGCTCAGGGGGAAGGAGTCCCCACCCTCCAGGTCAAGCCCTAATGCAGACCTGGAAGCAAGAAGATGGCATAGGTGGACCCGGACCTGCCAACCTCGAGGGATGGCCCCAGGCCTCGTGTCATGAGCTGCAGACGACACCAAGGAGCAAGGAGAAGGCCCCACGGAGAGCACGGCCCCGGCACCAGCACCATCCAGTGAACACCGCTGCTGGTCCCACTCCAGCCAAAGCCACACCAAAGCCTCGTTCCTGCGCTCCCATCCCACACGCAGCTGGTGTGTGCTCACCAAATACAAACTCATCTCACATCAGCCAAAACAACAGACCATCGGATGACAGCGGTGTTGGAACAGATGCTCACATGCTACAAAGCCACATGGCTCAAGTGCACAGAACAGAAGAGAGCTCAAAGAGGAGGAGATGTGCAGGGCTGGGGCGAGGGCACGCGCACACATACACACACACACACACACACACACACACACACACACACACACACACACACACACACGACCCGCTGGGTACCCACCTGGTATCCACTGGAGGCAGCAGGGCTACCTCCCCAGCCAGCCTGCCTGGAGATGTGGTGATCCTGGCTGGGGGCCCAGCCTGGGCCTGCCTGATGCTGGCTTCTTCGCTCATCTTGGGGGAGGTTGACTGCCAAGTGCAGGAAGGCCAGAGTGGGGGCCGGGACCCCAGGCTGGAGGGCCCTAACAGGGAGACATGATCAGTCCTCCCACCTGCTACAACTCATACCTTGGACATTCTGCCTAGCGATCACCACTGCAGCACAAAGGGAAAAATCTGCTAGCAGGTGGCAGACAAGAAACATGTCCAGTGACAGCTGTGTGACACCTGAGATCAAGGAGGCTTCAGGCCATCTGTGGGCTCAGATCTGGGGATCCTTCAATCTCAGGTCCCAGAAATGTGCGACCTCTGACACATGCCATGTGGATCTCAGAAATCCTGGTGACCTCGCTCTGCCACCAGCTGGCTCCTCTGCAACAGTGGGCATGCTTGGGGCTGGACGGTGCCCTCACCATGGGGTGACCTCCCCCTACACAACAAGCACCCATGTTTGTGGAGCAACCAACAGCTGGGCAGAGGTAAGGACAGGGGGACTGCGGCAGCAGAGGACAAAGCCCTCATGGCAGGTGGGCTGGAAGGCTGTCACCCCCAGGGGCAGCATGGGCAAGGCAGACAGCCCTGGGAACCAGAGCTCTAACCATCTGGGATGCAAAACTGCCACCAGCCAGCCGTGAGACAAAAGCACAGGTCACAGTGTGCAGAGCTGGCTGCTGGTGGGGCCAGCTGGTGACCAGGATGGGCTGAGCCTTGCCCTGACACACTTGGCCTCCATGAGTGGCATGCACACGTCAGTCCACACTCACCAGGCAGGGTGGGCAACCCATCCAGGAGCTCTGACAAGCCAGCCGGAGACTTGCTGTCGCCTGCACCCCGGGGCACACATCCCAGTGGCTCTTGCTGCCTGAACAGTGTGAAAATTGGAAGTAGAGTGAGCCCCCAGGCTGGGTGGGATCAAGCCTGGTGCTGGATCTCCCTGCACCCGTCTGGTCCAAGTCTGCTGACCACACCACTTCTGACATTGTCCCCAGGCTCCACCCTCTGGAGAACCAGGATGGCAGGTATAGCCTATTCCCAGGACAAGGTCCTCATCCTTGAGACCATGCCAGGCCACCCCTTCCATAGATGTGCCCGGGGTCTCTGTCCCTGCCACAGGGGACACTCACAGAGTCAGGCTGGCTGCTGCTGTTGCAGGGTCTGAGCTGGCTGCTGAAACCTGGCTCGCCAGTGTCCACTGCAGGACGTCCCCCTGCCACGTGTGCCACGTGGTCCTAGCTGGAGCAGGAATCTGAAATTCAAGCACCAGCAGCCTGGCTCACCTGTGTGATGGGCACAGCGGCCTTGCCGGGTGCCAAGACACCGAAGGTGCACCCCAGGGTCACCCACACCTGCTTGAGACAGGTCTGAGGGCACAGGTGACAGCCAAGGTACTCCTGAAACACTGCCCTCCCAAACCTCCACCCTCGGGATGTCAGCACAGCTCCTCCCCACACCGGGTGTGACCGGACAGTTGCTCCCCTTTGGGACTGAGTGTCCTCACTGGACTTAAAGCCCAAAGACAATGATGTGGTGCTCACCCAGGGGCACACAAGGGAGACCCCACTGGCCCTGAAAGCTTCTATCAAGTACTGGGCAACCCATCAGTACCACCAGAGGACATAGGAGACTCCTGCCACAAAGGAACACTTACAGGGCCCTGCAGAAAACAGGATGCCCTGTAAAAGGCCCAACTTGAAGGACAACTCACGTGGTGCTGCTCCCAGCTGGGCACCAGGCTGCTCGCAAGGCGCAGGAACTGCACAGCCATCTCCAGGACGGATGCCATGTCCTCCCTCCGGCCATCAAACCTGGGCAGCAGGGCCCGCAGGCGCTCGCAGCTCGCTGAGATCCGCCTCCTGCTTCCAGACCAGCGACAGTGTCCTCAGACATCTGGTACTGGCTCCGCTGTCACGGGGCCAAGGGGTGGGGTCGGACCTTGGAACCCACCATCTAGTGGCCCGGAGGAGGGTCCTCTCCGGCAGACATCACGGTCCCCAGGCCAGGCCGCTATCGGCCTTCCCGTCCTCGGCACAGACTGGCTCCCTCCCCTGACCCCTACCACACCCACGGTAAATCAGAATCAGGGATCCAGAGACTCCAGACGCATGATCTCTGGACGCCTGCAGTCTGGGGGCAAAGCGCAGGTGAAGACCACTCCCACTGTGAATAACCACCAGACTCCCTGGAACCGGGTCAACCACACAGCTGCCCCCACCCCGGGGGCCAAAGCTGTCCCCAGGCCTCGCACCTGCGCTCCCGCTCGCTAAGCACATTCCTCGGCAGGCCCAGGCCATTGGCGGCCGCGGGGTCCTTGCCCGGGCCTGGGACTTGCGTGGGGTTCTCTGAGCTCACCGGAGACTGGGGCGCCGAACAGCCACTGCGCAAAAAAAAAAAAAAAAGAGCAAGAGCATGCGGCTCTGTGAGCGCCAGGAAAGGCTGCCAGGGTCCACTCAGGGAGGAGTAACAGGTGCGCCTGGGGTCGTGGTGCCCTGTGCCCGGATCGCCCAGAACTAGGCCCATCCAGCGAGGCCCTTCCTCCCCACCCTAGGCCGGGTGCAAGGGGCGGGGCAGGGCAGGGCTGAGTAGAAGGCCTTGGGACCTGCCACCCAGCCCGCCATCTGTTCACTCACTGGCACCTCCCGCGGTCTGGCACCTTGGGGACCCCAGCATTTGGCTCAGAAGCCCGCGACGCCATGACGCATAGCGCAGGAGGAGAAGCAACACAGGCAGTGCACGCACGACCCACGCAACGCGCAAGCTCCCCCCGCCAGCCCCGCCCCGTGCACGCCCCCACGTGCGCCCCTGCGTGCACGTGGCGCTAGCCACTCAGCCCCGCCCACTGGCCCGCCCACAGCGTCAGAGCTCCTCCCCCAAGAAGTTGCTAGAACTCAGCCAGGCTGTAAGCCCAGGCAGATTTGCGGGCCCCACTGGGAGTATCGTGGGGCCCAACCTCCTCGTTCGCTCTTCCCAGCAGTCTCAAGTCTCCTTGCATGCGCGGTCTCTGAGCCCTAGCGTGGGAGCTCCCCGAAAGAGTGGGCCTGGAGGCAATGTGTTACCTGCAGGTCACCCACCTGTCCTGTGTCCCCAGCTCATTCCCTGTGCAGGGGTTGCACTCCGGAACCCAAGGGCCCCGGTCTTCCCCGTGTGGTTCTGGGTAGCGGGTTCAGCCCAACTTGGCTGCCTTGCTGCCTCCCGGATGTCCCGGAGCCCCTGTGGTGGGGCCTGGGGGAAGGAGGGTGTTTTAGGAGGTGCCAGGCCTTGGGCTTCCCTTCTGATGACTTCCCGGGCTCCTGCTGGGGACAGCTGTGGAGGGTGAGAGGACACTGTGCTTTTTGGGGACAACGAGAGGGAGCCAGAACAGGTGCCACCCGGGGGTGTCTGCCCGAGGTGCAGGGCACGGCCAAGCTGAGCACCCATCACTGTACCCTGGACCTGGGGCCGGGCGCCGCGGGGCAGAAAGGACATCAGCCAGAGATGGGAGGACGTGGTGCTGCTTGGGTGTAAGGGGTGCGGCCCTCTGGGACCAGGTCCTCCCCATCTCTGCTCGGGCTTCAGGACACAGTGGTCTGCCCAGCCAGGGCTGCGGGATCTAAAGGCCCCTTGGAGAGGAGAAGTGTGTGTGTGTGGTGGGGGGGGGGCTGGTTCTAGGTGGAGAGTCTCCAGCCTGATGGGCAGCTCCAGATCCCCAGAACCCTCCAAGAGCCACGCAGTTCTGGCCTGGATTGTGCAGGAAGCGAGGAGCAGGCAGAACCTGCCCTGGGAGGTCCACAGTGTCACAGGGAAAGCTGTTAGGGGAGGACAGCAGGCTGGCAGGCGCCAGGGTGGCTCCAGCACCGGTTCAGGTTCGGCCCAGCGGCCTGTGGAAGAGGATGGGCTGGAAGGCAGGGCCCCGCCCCCAGCCCCACTCCCAACCCCGCCTCTCCTGCTCTCCTTGCGCGGGGGGGGGGGGCAGCTTCTCCTTGGTGCCAGAGCAGGGTGGGCGAGGCTCCCCTGAAGAAGCTCACCTTGGCACCTCAGGGCGCCCGTGAGTGGGGCGCCCTCAGGGGGCGGACACAGGCAAGGGTTCGGAGCAATGGCCTCTGCATCCCGGGTCAGGTGCCAGTCCCTGTGGACAGGCTGGAGTTCTGCTGGGGACCTCTCTTGGCCGGGGAGGAGGGGCCTGGCAGAGCACTGCCTCTCTCGGGACTCGGGCCCAAGAGATCAGCCCACCTACACCCAGCGCCCCACTCCCAGAAGGCCCCGCGTTCAGCCTGCCGTGCCTGCAGGCAGACAGGGGAGGAACTCCAGAGGGGCTAGGGGCCAGGAAGCATCCCGTCATGCATCCCCCAGACTGACCCTAACCCACCTGTGACCTGGGGAGCCCCATGCGGACCACTGCCCCTCCCCCTGGCCCCCGTGCGCTCTCCGGGTGAGGGGCAGGTACGCCCCTTGGGATGAAGCCACTTCTACCAGGAGCCCCGCGGGGGCGCACACCCTGGTGTGCGCTGGGGTTCTAGCTACAGACACGCCCCTCCTGTTTTTAGGGCTACAAAACGTGTCTCTGACGAGAGGGTGGGGACTTTCGACCCCCGCGAGGCCCTGGCTGAGCCGGAGATCGCCACAGACCCGGTGCGGCCGGCAGGGGGCGCGCGCGGACAGGCGCTAGAAACCTTGGCTGAGAAGAGGGGGCCGAGTGGGGCCGCTCGAGTGGGGCCGCGCGTGGAAGCAGCGGGGCCGGGACTCGCTCATGCCGCTCCCCGATGGGGCGCAGAGCCCAGAGGGCTTCACCAACAGCACTTTCGAGTTCGACGACGGCCTGCGCACCCCCAGGTACGGACTGCTGCACGGGTACCCTCGGGCTGGGCCGGTTCCTCTCCGTGGGAGCCCCCAGGACCCCAGCCCCGGACCCCTAGGCCCAGGGCTCCTTCTCCCTAGGTCTGCAAGCGCCTTTCCGTCGCACTCAAGGGAGCGGCAGGTGTGAGGGTGCAGGCTGCAAGGTCGTTCCTGGGGGGCGGGGCGGCCCTGTGGGGAGTTGATTCTGCATGCAGGAACTCAGAACTCTCTTGCCAAACCAAGGGAGGGGTCGCGGGGTGCTCCTATGCGGAGGGCTGGGGCTGGGACTCTGCCCCATGGTGGGTGTTTTCTGGGCAGCCCTCCACGAAGAGATCCCTCAGGGGACCAGGGCAGCAAGGCTGTCTGAGCATGCACAGCCACTCAGGGTCCCGGGAAAGTGTATGCACTGGACCTGGTGCGTGGCTGAGGGGTCAGTGGTGATGTGTGCCTGTCCAGAATAAGTGACAACCAGCGTGTTCTCTGTGTCCCTCAACCTCCTGGCCCGGGCACCATTTGTTGTCCCTGGGGCCTATGTGTCACCCTGTCAGGCCATTCAGCCCGAGTTCATGCCCTGTGCCCCTCAACCCCCTGCTGAATCCCCAGTAGGACTGCTGAGCCCTGAAGGCCTGGGTTTCAGCCACTGTCCCTCCACCTCTGGACTCCATCCCTGCTGGCCTAGGCTGGCCTCTGTCCTAAATGCTCACCATCACACTGCAGGTGGAGCTGCTGCAGGCAGGGGTATCAGGTGGCCCAGTGGGGGAAGGCCAGAAGAGGGGAGCTTGCCAGGGGGCCCCCACAGGCTGAGGAAGCAGTGTATGTCTGGAGCTTGGTTTTCTCCAGGGCTGAGTGCTGTCTGTCTGACTGGTGTTGGGGCAGGTGCTGAGATTCTATCTAGTATCATCCAGCTGCACCCCAGCCTTATCCTGGGGTGCTCCAGGCCTCCAGGCTGTGGGGCAGAGAAGAGGGGATCCAGAGCAGCCCCACCTTCATGGCTCCCTGCCTGAACCCCCTTTGTGAGGTTGATGGGCCCAGCCTCCCTACAGGGTCACCAGGCATGGCCCTCCCCTGCCATCCTCTGCTCTGCCCCTTTTGGGTCTGGAGGTGACAGCTGCTGGGGCACTGGGCGGGGCCTTGGCCAGGCAGTCCCCACCCCAGCCTGTGTGCCTTTCTGGGAACTGCTGGTTCTTCCCAACAGCCCTAGCCTCTGTGTCATGGGACCCTTAGGCCTTGACAGCCAGGACATTGAGCATAGGCCTGGCATCCTGCCAGGGACATTCTGGCTGGTCCATATTAGGGAGCTATGCCCATGGGCAGCAGGAAGCACATGGGCTCTGGGGAACAGCCTGAGGGCTCATAGTGCAACCTGACCCTGGCCAGTGGGCAGGAGGGCCAGGAGGCTTCCCAGCCCACAGCAGAGGGGCCCAGGGCACTGCCTGTGGTCTGGGGGTGGCTTCTGCAGCAGCAGCTCCCAAGGACAGTGGTAAGTAAGCAGGGGACAATGGGGACCCTCGGGTTCTGGCTTCTATCTGGGCCCCATGGGTATTGCCCCTGTGGGCACCCCACCGTGGGTGTCTCATCCCATCTGGGGCCTGGATCATGACAATCGTGTAATTCCTGAGGCAGCCTTGATGGTGGTTGATCGTCGAGACTTTGGTCTCTTTGGGGTTCTCTGCACGAGTCTCCTGTTCCACTTCTCAGGCCGCCAGCCAGGGTTTACAGTGCTGCCCCAGCCAAGCAGGTGGCCCTTCTGTATCCCCACAAACTGCCTGGGTTTCTCTGGGATGAGAGAGTTCTCAAATGAGCCACAGGCCCTGGTGCATGTGTAGAGCATTAGGGTTAGAGGTTAGGGTTAGGGTTTATACACCAGGTGAACCTGTGCCAGAGCTGGAGGAGGTGGGAGGAGCCTGCGGTCACCCATCTCGAATGGGAAAGGAAGGGTGGGGCTGGTACCACAGGTGCTGCTGTGAGGGTCATCGTGGGAAGTGTCCCCGAGAGGGGCCTGGAACTGCAGACTAGGGATAAGGGGGAGGTGGTGTCACAGGAGCGGAGGTGGACATCGGGGGGACACTGATGTCCTAGGGCTGGCCTGGAGCACCAGGCCTTGTGAGAGTCCCCAGGAATTCCAGGGCCCTATGCCACTTCTCCGTGAGTGACAGAGCCAGGTGGACAGCAAGCCCAGCTGGAGCTGAGCTGCAGGAAGTGTCCTGCTGCTGATGCTGTGTGAGAGGCCTGACAGGTGGGGCAGGGGCCAGCACCAGACTCTGCCAGCCTCCCGGGTGGAGCTGGGGTCCTGGTGTGGGAGCTCAGGGTGACCGGAGGCAGGCAGGGTCTAGGCTCCATGGGGATCTACTGCAGGGTCCTGGACCCTCGGAGTCCCTAAAGTGGGGCTGGAGTGGTGGGGCGAGGTACCGGGTAGACTGCAGGGTGCACCTACTGCTGCACTGTCCTGGCACAGTGCTGGCTATGTACAGTGCACATGGCCAGCACTGTTGCTGAGGACACCTGTCCTGCTGCGACATGGCCCAGACAGTGTCTGCTGTTTCCATGGCCAGCTGTGTCACACACCTCGGCTTCCAGACAAGGCCCAGAGCCCCACAGGCCATGCCGCCCCAAACTCTGCAGCAGCAGCCCTGGCACTGCTGGTTTGGGGGCTGCAGTAGGGGCAGGGCAGGGCCGCCCTTCTCCACACAGTTCCACCCTCAGGCACGTGTCCTGGCAGGGCAGCCGGAGAGCCCCAGTGCTGGCCCTGGGCTCTGCTTGCTGGGATTGGCGCTGACCCTGTGGCTGTCGTGGCTCGGGTGGGGACTGAGAACTTGTCTGTGTGCAGTACCCAGTGGCTGTGAGCTGTGGTCATGTCAGGCTACAGTGGGTCACTCTGCAGGAGGACTGAGTGTGGCTGGTGGGTAGCAGTCCACAGGTGGGGGCCCCAGGAGCGTATGTAGGATGATCCTGGACACCCAGCTGCCAGCTGACTTGGGGTGAGGTATAGGCTGCCTGAGAGGCCACCCAAGCTGGCATGGAAGCTGCAGTCCCCGTGACTTTTGCCCCCCATCCTTGGGGTGGCCCAGGCCTTGTGACCTCTGTGTCCCCTCTGCTCCCAGGCTGGGTCTATGAAGGGAAGCTGCTTTCGGGTTAGAGACCTCTCTGGCTCACTCTGCTCAGTCCCACTTTGGAAACTGGCACATGTGTCCCGAGGTGGCACTGAGCAGCCACCCACGGTGTGGGTGTGAGCCATCTTCCCTAGGGAGAAGGAGAGGGATGGCACCCAGGTGCCTCGCCACCCGCCAACACGGTGCTGGCTTTGGGAATGTTGTGCACAGGAAGCGGTGTCTTTCTCTCTGTCTCTGTCTCTCTCTCTCTCTCTCTTTTTTTTTTTTTTTTTTTGGTGGGAATTGAATCTGGGGTGAGCTACCATTATGTTACATTCCCAGCATTTTTAAAGCCTTTTTCTGTTTTTTCTTTGAACCTGGATATAGCTAGGTGGCACAGCACCTGCCCAGCAAGTATGAGGTTTGATTCCTGGTACCAAAAATAAAGACTTTTTTTTGAGGCAGTGTCTTGCTAATTTACCCAGGCTGGGCTCAAACTTATGATCCTCCTGCCTCAGCCTACTTCAGTGCTGGGATTCAGTGCTGGGATTACACGCCCTGCTGCAGTTCACCTTTCTGTCTCAGAGAAAGGGTCTGCTGCTTCCCACTGGTCAGGCACTCAGCCCAATGCTGAGCTGTCCCCACTGTGGTGACACTGTGCACCACTGTGGGACCTTGCTGGAGGCCGAGTAAGGATGCCCAAGCCCATGCAGATATATGTGTGTGCACCCACGCATGCACTGCGTGTGCCCAGTGTAAACACATCACCACATGTACATGCATGTCCACACACATCTGTACATACGTGCATCTGTGCACAGCGCTCTCAGCTGTGGGCACTTGCACGGGTGTGGACACCAAGGAGCGTGAGAAGCGGACCAGCCTCTCTCAGCAAAGACAGTTGAACGGAGCTCCAGGAGCAGCAGGGCTCTTAGAAGGAGCCCCTGGGCAGGGGAGGGGATGGCGGCCCCCATGTGTGGATCCTGAGGAGTGGATGGACAGGGTCTTCGCCAGGAGGTACAGCGCGGCCTGGACCTGTGACTGCCCCTGACCTCAACTGAGGCTCGCAGGTTGGGGCCCCTGAGAAGCCCCCGCCCGTGCAGGGTACTTTGGAAAGAGGCCAGGTGGTGCCTCACTGGGATCCTGCCAGGGTGCTGGCATTGGCAGCAGCTGAGTGTGAGGCTCCCACAAGTGCACACGGACCTGGCGGGTGCAGAGAGGCTGGTGGGGGGCTTCTGGGATATCTGGTCCCTGCAGCATCACCTCTGGATGGGGCTGTGGGGACATCCGTGCTGAGGCTCACAGGGAGGGGCTCCCAGGTGATGGGAACCCATTGCTCCATCATTGCTGTGTCACCCCTGGTGGGCTAGGTGGACACTGGCCACTGCACCTGGCTCCCGGACCCCTTGTACAGTGCTTTCAAACCCATTGCCAGAGCCTGTGCCTGGCCGGCCTCCATTTCCCTGCTTGCCAGGGAGCTGACCATGTCCACTTCCTCGAATGTGGGAGTATGTGCGTGAGTGTGTGTGTGAGTGTGTATCTGTGAGTGTGTGTGTGGGTCTGAATGGTATGGGAGACTGAGCTGAGAGCCTTTGCACTGAGCTCCACACCAAGCACTGGTTTTCAAAGTGTGAGACAAGGTCTCACTAAGTCTGCCAGGCTGGATTGGAATCTGTGACCCTCCTGCTTCAGCCTCCCAGAGTGCTGGGATGATGATTGCTTCCTCGCTGCTCTTTCCCGTTTCTCGTCTTGGACTGTCCCGGCCGGTCTGATGCACACTCTCCTTGTGGCTTTGCGGGCACCTTGGGGGTCTTTACCATTTCTGCTCCCCAGACACACTGCCCATCTTTGTTGCTTGGTCTTCCTGCTTTGTGGGGGGGCCCTCTGTTGGGGGCTGTGTCGAGCTCAGCTGTGAAACCCTGGTAAACTGCTCTCTCCGCCCCTGGGAGCTTGGTGCCTCGGGAAAGGGCCTCTTGGTTCTGTTTCCTTCTCTCCTGCCCTGGGCCCGGGGCTGTGTCCAGTGGAAGGCAGTGGCTGTAGGTAGAGCCTTCTGGAGCCAGGTCTTGGGTCTGAGCAGGAGCTGCCTGGCTTGAGGGCCGAAAGCGAGTGGCCAGGCTGGGCCTGTTCCTTCAGCAGGGAAAAGTGAGCACCCTGCAGGCTGAGGCTGTCGCTGTGCCTGCCCTCGGTTCAGGCCTGCAGCTTTCACCCACCCTGGGGTGGCCATGGCCCCCTCCTTTCTCAAGCCCAAGCCAAGCCTTGGCTTGGACCCCAAGAGGCCAGGGCCCGCTGTGTGTTCTGTCACTGTTTGTCTTTCCTTTCTATGGGTTACCAGGCTGTGAATCAGAGCTGACAGCTGGCACGACGCGTTCCTTCTCCCAATTTCCCTCCGCCCAGGGCTCCTCCTGGGCATTTATTCTTCCCCAGTCTTCAGATTCTGGAAAACAACAATGCCTTTTGACGGGCGCCGGGTGCCCACCCCCTTCCAGCCCTGACTGCTGTCGCTTTCGGGGCTCTGGGGAAGTGCGTGGGCCCCGGGCCTGTGTGGCTGCTCTGCTCTGGGCTTGAGAGGCCTCCGGGCTCAGCAGTGTCACGTGGTGTAGCTGCGTCTGTCCTGCTGATCTCTTGGTTTTGTCTCCAGCTTTCTGCTGACACGTATGTGTCAGCCAAGCGCATAGCTGTGTTTCTCCTTCCTCCCCTTCTTTCCTGTTGCCGGTGTTCTGGGGAGACATGAGGGCCTGGGCCATGGCTAGGGACCACCCAGCTGCCCATCCAGCCTGGGTTCTGTGAGCCCAGGTGTCCTCAGCTTGCATCGGGGTAATAACAGTCCCAACTTGGGCTTTGTCCTCAGGATTCTTAGCTATCACCTGCCCCCTCTCAGGCCTGATCCTGGGCCGGGCCAGGGAATGGGAGGTCAGGACACATGGTCACCTGTGTTCATAGGGGCTGAGGTGGCTTCTGGGCACACTCTGCCCGGGACTCCCATCCTCTGCTGTGGCCTTGGAAAGGGTCCCCTAGGTCCACCCCCTAGGCTACTGCAGAGTAAGCACTGGTATACTGAGTTCAGTAACAAGCACCACGCTTCTGTCTGTGCTGTGGACTCCTGAGTGGACTGAGGGTCAGTCCTTCCTCCAGTGTCTTCCTCCAGACAGAGAGGCCAGGCTGCAGGAGAGGAGACTTGCCTAAGGCCATGCAGCCCAGAGCAGTGGCCAGGGCCGAGTTGTGTGGTGCTACCAGGACCCTCAGCTGCCCCCAGCCCCCAAGAGGTGTAGGGGGTCTCCACAGGGCCCCTTGTAATAGTGCCCTGTCCTGAGGGCCCACAACCCGCCACAGGTGGAGTCTGGGTGGGGAACTGGGTGCTGTCCGGGGTGCCCAATCCATCACACAGAAGATGGCAGAGCAGCAAGCACTACTCTGGGGACCCTGGTGAGGGTAAGCTTCTGGGGACTGTGCGGCAGCTGTGTCCTTGTACCACCTGGGCCATCTCCGCCCTGCCAGCCGTCATGGTGCTCAGGGAGTGGCCTCTGTTGTGGGTGCCTTCCAGGGCCCAGGCCCTGGCTCTCAGCCTTACCAGCAGATGCCTGGCTCCACGCGGGGTGCCAGTTTACACTGTGAGCTGGCTCAGATGGTGCAGTGATGGCCGCCTAGGAGACAGTGGCTGGGGGTGGGGCAGGACGATCATTGTGTCCCTCTGAGGAGGCTGGACCTCTGGTCAGAAGAGCCTGAGTTCCCAGGGGCACAGCAGTAGGGCCAGCAGTGCCAGGGACAGGAATTCTCAGTAGGAATGTGGTAAAGCCAAGAAAGCATGGCCCGAACCCCATCCCCAAGGTGCCCCGACATGTGCGCCTCCCATCACCCAGCCAGCTGGGACCCAGGAAAACACAGAGCTGCGGATGCAAGTAGGGAACTGTTAGTTTTCAAATGCTGCCAGAGCCCAAGGATGAATCCGTGACCCCAGAAACAAGAGGGCATTGGACCAGCACCTGCTGGTTGTGGCCACGACCTGGCTCCAGAGCATCCCCAGCTACTGGAGCGAGTGGAGCGTGCAGGATGGCCCACCCTTCCTGGCTTCTGTTCCTGTCCCAGGCAGACCGTTGCCTCTAACCTTCACCAGCCTCCTGCCTTCACATGGTCTGTGGTGACTGCACAGCTCTGGGGACAGACTGGGGTCAGCACTGCTCCCCAGCGGCTCACAGGACAAGGAGGCCAAAGGTCCCAGTGCCCCTGAGGCTGCAGGCCAATCGGTGTGGTGGGGATGGGCACTGTGGGAGCAAGCTGTCTGGTGGGGCCCCGCAGGTGACCGGATACCTCCTGGCTTGGGGAGTGAACAGGGCTGCTGGCCCAGGTATGGGGACTTTGGGGCCCTGTCAGCCCCTGCCTGGGTGCCCAGTGTCATAGCAGCCAGAACTCACTTGGGTGTGGAGATGAAGGCTGGAGGATGAGATCCCCAGGAACTGCAGAGCACCAGCACCCTCTAGGAACCTGGGCTGTTATCGCCCACTCCATTGCCACTGTGTGACTGTGGGTCAGGAGCCTGTGAGCTGTGGGTCCTGCTGACACTGCAGGGCAGCTTGGGGCCATTGGAGCTCCGCAAGGCTCAAGTGCACGCATCCTCAATGTGGGGGCAGAGGCCCGGTGGTCACCTTTGGGCCCACGTATCTGCTTTGGATCTGGAAGGAAGGCCAAGTGGCCTTGGCATGGGCTGTGGCCAAGAGGGCTGGCCCCACACAGGTCCTCAGGTAGGGAGGGAGGCCCTGGAGCAGGTGGTCCCTATGCCTGCCTGGGGGAAGGGGAACCTCCTGAGTGCAGGTCCCTGAGTTCTCAGCCTCCACAAGACCTGGGGCCTCTGGGCCACCCTGCCCCTGCCACCCCTGCAGGGGTACCCCCGCAGTTCCCTCACCCCGCAGGTCCCCTCTACCTCCCACAGGTCCCCTCCTCTCTCTCCCTGCAGGCCCCCCACCATGGGTCCCCTCTACCTGTAGGTCCTCTACCCCTCCCCGTGCATCCCCCCTGGGCGCCCCTGCAGGTCCCCTCCCAGTCCCCAATCAGCTGCCTGGGAGTTGCCTGTCCAGGCCGGGCTTGGGCTGAGGGGCTGGCTGGTGTGTGCCCGCAGGCACCTCTGTACCGGGGACGGGGACGAGGTCCTGGAAGTCGCCATCAGCTTCAAGATGAGCGGCCTGGACTCGGAGGTGCTGCCCCTGCCACCACGGTACCGCTTTCGGGACCTGCTTCTGGGCGACCAGTCCTTCCAGAGCGAAGACAGGTAGGCTGCGCTCTGTCTGGGGTGCTGAGCCCCTCGCCCTTCAACTTTCCCACCACCCCTGACCCAGTTCAGGGTAGGGACTTGGGGGTGCGTCTCCCCAGGTGGGGTTCAGGGGCAGGTGAGGGGGCGGGGAACCCCAGAGGCCCACTCTGGGGTCCATGTGCTTCTCTGCAGCTCCAGGCTGCAGCCCTGCTGCTCTGCCAATCTGGGGACTGAGCAGGGCTGGATGCACCGGGTAGTTGAGCCCCTGCTGGCGGCTGGGTTGGTGTTCTCAGGAGTCAGCTCCGCCGCTTATTAATTATGCATGGAGGGACTGTGCCCTTCAGGGTTATGTGTGGTCACATGCCAGGTCGACATCATTCCAGCACCACGGTTCTCTCAGGCATGAGCAGGGAAAAGGAAGGGAATCCGCAGGAGGCTGAGGGGTGGGCAGGACCCAAAAGACAAATGTCACTTTTCTCTCTCCTTTCCCGCAAGCAGCTGTCTGGGTAAACACCCCAGTACTTGGGGCTTGGGGGAGGGGGCTGGGGGTCCTCAGCCAGTCCCGGGTCTGCCTGCTGTCCCCCAGGGTGCCTTCATTCAAGTTCTCACACAAAGTGCCTAAGGTCACAGATCAGCAGCGGCCCCCCCCCCCCCGCTGGGAGCTGCTTTGTGAGTCTGAGGCCTGGGGATCTCAAGCAACCTCCACCCCCAATGGCCTCCGTGCTTGCTAGCCCAGCAGATCCCAGAGCCTCCCCCTGCATGGATACAGGGAACCCGGGCCCACAGGGGCATGCTCTGACCTGGGCAGGTTTCGCTCTGGAAAGCTGATGTGGCCACCAATAGACCTACCTTGAGCAGATGCGCTGGCCAGGATGGTTGGCTCCGGTTCAGGCTGGCCAGGATCCGTGGCCGAGGCGCCCTGCCCTCCTGGGACCCACACGGAGCACCCTGCTCAGTCAGCACCAACACCCCAGTGCTGGTTAAGCCTGAAGGCAGCAGTCCTCGGAATTTCTCCCAGCATCCGGCAGGAGGCCGAGTCAGTCTCACTACGCGATGCCCAGGGCTGTGGTGTCAGCATGGATGCCTTCCCCTGTGGCTTCCAGGGTGTGTCCTGTGTTTTCAGGAGCAAGTGGCAAAGGTCTCACTGCTTGAGATGGTGGGGTGCCCACAGGGAGAGCTGTCCCCAGCCCCAGGGGACAGGTGGGAAGCAGCGCCTGCATGTGGATTTCAGTTGTAGCACAACGCGTGAAAATTCACCAGCCCCAGAGTCAAGTGGGCTCACACCTGGGAGCCCGCTTCTGTTTTCCTCACGTGTCTGCCCATGGGCTGCTTGGCTGTGTAGCTTTGGGGTGGACTCAGGCTCAGTTGTACCCTGTGAGCCCCAGGTCCTGTCAGGGCAGGTGATGCAGGAGACCAGGGACCTGCAGGGGTCCCTCTCCCACCTGCACTGTTCCATAGTACATCTGGCTCTGAGCATAGACTCCAGGTTGAGAGGGTGCTGGCTTCCAGAGGTCACTGCTGGACATGCGGGACATGGACCCACTGCCCTGCTAGCCACCTGTTACAGCCACCTGTTTCTTCTCTTGCCTGTGTCCAGAGGCCGAGTATCATCAAAGGGGCTGTGGCCACTCCTGCCTGGCTTGGGGGGACCCCTGCCTTGCATGGAGCTGGCCCAGGTGGCAGCGTCATGCCCTGCAGGGTGAGGGAGCAGAGCAGATTCCATGCACATGAAGGAATCTCCAAGGCTGGGGTTTGGGGGGTTGGGGAGTTAGGATGAAGTCCTAGGCCCTGGTGAGGGCCCAGCAAGGGACCAGGGGAGGTGAGCATGTTTGCTCTCTCTGCTTTGAGGGAACAGGGTGGGGAGTTGCCAGCCCAGGGCAGGGCACCAGAGGCCCAGCCCAGACCACCCCTGTCTGCCCTGTCTCCGTAGGGCAATTGGGGAGCTGTACCCCGATTCCCAGCTGGCTGTGAGGGTGAGTGGGCTGGCGGAGTCATAGGCTTCCTGTTCTCCAGGGAAATAAAGCCACTCTGGTGAGTCACCACGGCTGCCTGCTGGCCTTGGGGAGGAAGGCAGTCAGCTGCCCACATGGCCACAGGGCACAGGCTGGCCTCTCATCGGGCATGAGCCTGGCATAGCCCTGGGAGAGGACAAAGCTGGGCACTCAACCTCTTTCAAGGGACAATGTGGTCCTGGTGGACACTCGCCTGCCAGTTAGGTGACCCAGCCTTGCAAGTCACCGCAGGGAGTTTTCCCAAGCATCGGGAGAATGGGCTGGCCCAGTGAGGCAGAAACTGCCTGTCTGAGGATGCAGCAGGTGGTTGTCGTCAGAGACCTGGAGGCCTTCGGGTCAGGGTGGATGCAAGGGGGAATCGGTGGCACTTAGAATTGCAGAACTAGGTCACCCCCCCTCAAGGAAAGGCCAGTCCCTCTGCCAACACCCCTGTAGGAGCTGCCTGTCCTGGTAACAGTTGGGAGCTAGGCCAGAAGCATTGCTGCCAGCAGAGCCAGATGTGGACAGGAATCATCCCCAAGGCCTCAGAGTGCCCTCCCCAACCACTGTATCTCTGCCCCCCAGACAGAGCTTGCTTCCATTTGCCCAGCTACTGGTACACTCCCCACTGCTCCCCCACAACCAGCCCCTCCTCCCAGCACCCCCATCCTACCCCCCCCATCCCACCTGCACTGGGGCAGGGAAGCCCCCACCTTCCTCAGGGGGAGCCCTGTCACAGTCCCTACCCAGCTCTCAGGACTGTGTGCCCCATGCAGAGGGAGCTGGCTTTCAGGATGCCCAGGATTCCCCAAGTGTCTGCAAGAGGCCTGAGCTCTGAGGACTTGGGCCCCTAGGACAGGCCAGCTGATCCCGAGACGCTCAGGGCGTCTGACTCGTGTTTCTGAGCAATGCCTCTGCCCCATCCCACACCTTGGGGACACTCAGAAGCCGAGAGGCTGTGTCTCTTCCATTTCCTGGGCTGGAGTAGTGGGGTACAGCATTTCACCCCTAAACCCAGGTGTTCCTGACTCAAACTGCAAAGCCAGATTCCTCCTGAACTAACGTTAAACGGAACGGAAGCTGGTGCCCAGTGGGAGGGGAGCCAGGGCCCACTGAGTCTCAGACAGCATTGGGTTCGGTGCTGTACTGGCTGGCTTTCCTCAGCGAGGACACAGTGCCCAGCATCCACACCTTGCCCTTTGGTTTAGGGGCTCAGGGGCACAGTCCATGGCTACTGCTCCAAGGCAGGTGTGTCATGGCGGAGAGGAACCAGGCTGCTTTGTTCATGGGGCTGAGAGGCCAAGCAGGGGATAGGCAACAGGCCCCAGATCCTTCTAGGTCACATGCCAGTGACCTCCAGTTGTGCCCTGCCCTCCAGAGTCCCAACACATCCAGCCATGGGTGTCACTGATGCACAGAGAAGGACAGTGCCCTCGTCAGTCCCCTCTCAGGGTCTGTCCAGTCGACAGTTGTGCTCACTGTCAGTGTCCCCATCCTCCCCACAACACAGCCGCTCCCCAGGGACAGCACCTGCTGAGACCACAGCCCTGCTTCTGGAAATGCCCCTTTCTTGTGGGTCCTCTGTGGATGGGAAATCTGCTGGAAAGTGGAAATGCAGGAAGAGAGGCTGTAGTCAGGGAAGCCCCTGGCCTGAGTGAGGTAGGGCTGGACCTGAGAGCCTGAGGCACAGGACGCCTCTGGGGCTGGGACAGGCCTCTGGCTCAGGAGAGGCTAGCAACAGGGATTGGGATTGGAGGTGCTGCCTAGGGGCTGAGGCTCAACCTGGGACCCCAGCTCCCCTCCACAGCTCTGTGCTGGGCAAGGCAGAGACCCCAGGCCCACCCCAGCCTATCAGGACCCGGGCACCTCAGCCCTCAGTCTTGGGTCCCTAAAAGGGGACCCCTCACAACGACATCAATGTCCAACCCTTGGACCTGAGACATAACCTTGTGTGACCTTGAAGGTGTGATTCAGTGAAGATGCTAGAGATGGATTGATGACCTTGGTGGACCTGAAACACAGTCTTGTGAGTTCTCTCAGGGACACAGGAGGACATAGTGCCAGCCGCAGAGGGACTGAGCTTCCCTGCAACGTTCAGGGCCTGGAGCTGACCATGTCTCTGCCTCCACCACTGCGTGAGCCAGACCAGGCCAAATTAATCTGTCCTGCGGGTGTGCATGCTGTAAACAGTCTATCTCCTGCCCATGTGGACGCACACACTATCCAGTGCTGTGCGTGACAGCCCAGCCTTTGGACACTGGTGCTCAGCCCCGTGAGACCCCAAGCAGAAATTGAAGCCAGCCACACCATGCTGAGGCAGAGTGGGATGTGAATGGGCCTTGAGCTGGGCTTCGGGGCAGGAGGGAGCTGGTCATCTGGCATCTGCTGGCCTCAGGTGTTCAGCTTGCTCCTCGGACTTCAGAGTCCCTGGAAGCTGGACATTGGGTCTGGACTCCTAGTGGACCCAGCTTGCCTAGCAGGCAAGAAATAGTTGCAGGTGCCTTTGTGACTGTGTTCCCTGGGGCTTGGCAGAGGGGACCAGCTGACTCACCAGGCAGCTGCACGTCCTTTTCCCCACGAGGTGACTGCCATCCTTCTTGGGGTACAGCCCTATATCTGCCCTCACACTTGCCTTACACCTGCCCTCACATCTGCCCTCACACCTGCCCCGCACCTGCCCTCACACCTGCCCTACACCTGCCCTCACACCTGCCCTATACCTGCCCTCACACCTGCCCAACACCTGCCCTTCACCTGCCCCACACCTGCCTTCTCACCTGCCATGCACCTGCCCTCACACCTGTCCCACATCTCCCTTCACACCTGCCCCCACCTGCCCTCACACCTGCCCCACACATGCACTTGTACCTGTCCTCACAACTGTCCTGCACCTGACCTGCATCTGCCCTCACACCTGCCCCACACCTGCACTTGCACCTGCCCTCACAACTGTCCTGTACCTGACCACACCTGCTCTCACACCTGCCCCACACCTTCTGTACACCTGCCCTCACATCTGCACCACAC